TTCCAAGACCCAGACTCAGGCAAGTGAGTCAGGAGCTCAGAAGATGTTCAGAACATCTCATGAGACGTTCTCAGCGGTGGAAGCCACTGCCTTTATTGTTGTAGTTTAGTCTTTTGCAGCCCCCATGGACCGTAGCCCACCAGGCTCCTCTGCTCATGGGATTTCCCAGGCAAGATTACTGGAGAGGATTGCCATTTCCTTCTCCAGGGGATCTTCCTGATCCAGGGATTGAACCTGTGTCTCCCGGGTCTCTGGCATTGGCAGGTGGATTCTTTACCACTGAGCCACCTGGGAAGCCCAGCCCCTGCCGTAGGACACGATAATCTAGAATGAATGGAAATTTGATGAGTCGAGCTAGTTGTGTAGCAGTTCTGAAGCTTGGATGCTCTTAGAAGTATTTAGAGAGCAAATACAAAGGACATCTGCCAGAAGATTTTAATTCTTTGTGTCTGGGATGGGACGCCCACCTCACGCTTGTAAGCATGCTTCCCAGGTGACTGTAATGTGCAGCGGAGGTTGAAAATCACCTATATGCACTGCCTCGTTTTCCTGACACGTAGGAGGAGGCCCTGGAGGCTGAGCAGCCAGAGCCTACAGCCTTCAGTTCCTATGCTAGCACTTAGCAAACACTGCGTGCTGCGTTATCATGTGATATCAAATAATCAAGGCAGGGTTTCAAGACTCACAATCTGACCTGGATGAGTCATAACCGTGCATCACTGTTATGGTTCCAGTTCTTAATTAACAACCACTTTGCTTTCACCAAGATCCCAGATTTTTTTAATATACAAATTTGTTCATCTAGCAAGAAGACAAACTGGTTGATGTCATAATGATGTCAACGAAGGGTACACAGGTCATCGTTTTCCCATTACCTTTAATCAGAATTACTTCCTAGGTGTGCCCTGTGCACGTCAATACTCACAGGATCAATATTACGGTTCAAGTACAGAGAAATTCGTGGTCCTTTAAAATCAGAGAGTGGATTTGTTTCTGAACCGGATGGCTTGACCCTAAATGTTGCGTTCTTATGTTTTCTGAGACAAATGGATTTTACAAGAAGGACCGGACAGTTTTTATTTGCTCCAAGTATCGGCGGTGCCAATGGACGTGGTACTTGGAGGCCACTGCATCACTGGGCATCTCTCAGTGTGGACTCTTCCTGCCTCTCCCCCAGGAGTCCCCAGCATCTGCTGGCAGCCCCACCTACCGGGGCCCCATCAGCTCTCGGCCTGGGTGCTGAAGCCCAGTCGGCAGGAGGCAGGTGGGAAGGGAAGTCGATGTTTCCCAGCCACCGCGCCTGTTTTCCACCTAAGCACAAAAGGAGGATTTCACAGACTGGATATCTTCGTGCCGACACTTGCAGTGAAAGGATAATGACTGCAGGGTAGGAAGACAAAAACACAACTGGCGTGCGCTAGCTGGAGGACGCTTGCAATCAGTGTTTGCAAACCTGTGCTGTATCCCCGCTCCTAGCCGCAGAATCCTCCATGCTGGGAAATAGCGCTTTCCTCATTCTTCAGCCTTCACACCGGGCCTTGCCTGGAAAGCTGATCTTTCCTCCTTTGTCCTGCACTGGGTAACCATCAGCTACCAGAAACTGGCTGCAGGTTACCATGGCAACGCTCCCCAAACTGCCCCTAGGTAGGAGGCTCTTGGGCTGGGAAACGTTGACATTTCAACCCCTGACTTTCAGGCTTGGAATCTGACTCTAAATCCACGTATCAGAATACAGGGCATTTCAGAAAGACCTGGAGCTCCAGGTGTTAAGTTTCCTGACTGGACTGAGAGGCCACCTAATGCAGAAATGAGCTCATTATAGAGGCCATAAAACCACTTTCTGCAGAAGCTATGAGGTGCACACCAGCTGTGTGACTCCGCTCGAGGAGGGCTCGAGGAGTTTGGGAGCAGAAAACAGAGGACGGGTCGGGCCCACCAGGACTGCAGCGGCCGGGGCTTCAAGAGGACAGCTCGGGGGAAGCAGGCTGGGGAGTCCTTCACGCCTGCCCGCTGGCTTCACTGTCCTGAGAGACGCTGGCAGATCAACTCTGACTCTTCTGTGTCATTTATAAGCCCCTCCCCGTCTTATTGGAGATGCTGTTGCCGTTCACTCACTAAGTCGGGTCCAACTCTCTGTGACCCCATGGACTGCAGCACGCCAGGCCTCCCTGTCCTTCACCAAATCCCAGCACTTGCTCAAACTCATGTCCATTGAGTTGGTGATGCCATCCAACCATCTCATCCTCTGTCATCCCCTTCTCCTCCTACCTTCAATCTTGCCCAGTGTCAGGATCTTTTCCAAGGAGTCGGCTCTTTGCCTCAGGTGGCCAAAGTATTAGAGCTTCAGTTTCAGCGTCAGTTCTTCCAATGAATAGTTGGGTTGATTTCCTTCAGGATGGACTGGTTGGATATTCTTGCAGTCTGAGCGACTCTCAAGAGTCTTCTCTAGCACCACAGTTTTTGATCTCCTATTGGAGAGTCCCCGACATTCCAATATCCTGTCTTCCTTCCTAGGCTGATAGAAGAATGTTCTTCCATGAGAGCTTTGGGCTCTCATTGCTCCTCTTCCATCCTTACGTGATGCTCACTCAGTGCCCCGAATCCTGAGTGTGGTGGAGAGAAGCGGGACATGTAGCCCCTCCCAGGGTCATCCCTGCTGTCCACTTACCCATATGGGAGCTAATTCCCCCAGGATGCCTTCCCTTGCTTGGAGTGACACCCACCCTGCAGGAGCTGCAAGGATTAAATGAGATAATGAACTTGATGTGTGATCAGAGTGCAGACTCCTGACTAGAATCAAGCTTACAAGGTCCCAACAGGTCACTGTTTGGCCCAAGCTAAGGAGGTCCTCCTCTGGGCTTCCTCTGGCCTTGTCCTTCCAAAGGGCAAGATGCTTTCTTTTCTAGTCCATACTCTGCATCCTCCAGACCCAGGAATCCTGAGGAAACACTCTTGAGTTCACATTCAAAACCTGTAACAGGTTCCCATTCATCATCCCGAGGGGTCCTGCAACCCCAGGGAGCCAGCACTGTTTGTGGGGAGTGGACGGAACCTGGACTTGCAGGCTGGAAAAACCAAGGTAAGAAGCCAGATGAGGTGCTGGGCCATGAAGTCCACTTCTGATTCTAGTTTGGAAGCTGGAAGCTTATTTTTGTTCTTTTTCAAAGGGATTTTTAAAAATGTGTAGTGACCAGGTTTCCCTGTGTATCAGCTGGTAAAGAAGCCGCCTGCAATGTGGGAGATGTAGGCTCGATCCCTGGGTTGGGGAGATCCCCTGGAGAAGGGAAAGGTTATTCCCTTCTGGCCTGGAGAATTCCGTGGAAGTCCATGGGGTTGCTGAGAGTCGGACATGACTGAGGGACTTTCACTTTCACTTTCAGTGACCAGCCAGGTAACACTGGAAGGGACATGTGATACACACAATAATATGAAAATTGGAAAAGTGATCAAAAAGGAAGGAAACAGAGATAAAATTTGTTTCTGGTAAAACAAACAACAAAAAACCCCCACTTCATTCCTCTTTGCTTCTTCCTAAGGAATCTAGAATTTCTAATCCCAAAGGAAATATGACAGCAATGCTGTTGTTGTTGTTCAGCCGTAAGTAGTGTCTGCCTCTTCGTTCCCTGGACTGCAGCATGCTGGCCTCCCCTGTCCTTCACCAACTCTCACAGTTTGCTCAGATTCATGTCCATTGAGTAAGTAATGCCATCCAACGTTCTCATCCTCTGCCGCCCCCTTCTCGTTTTGCCTTCAGTCTTTTCCTGACAGCAAAGAACTAAAGATCCACGGTTTAACAAGAAGAGCTTGAAAGCAGTCTAGTTTGGAGGGGTGACTGTTCTGTTTTACTGATTCATTCGAATGCACTTGAATTGTTTTTCGCCCTGACCCGAGGTTGTCTTCCTGTGATCTGAATCCACCCAGCTGAGTTGGATTCAGGCCTAGGATAGGTTTTACAGGAAGAGCAGGTGGTTGCCTAGGGCAGCAAAATGTTTTAGGGACTCTATTATGGGAGGGTCTGGAAGCTGTGAGGGGGCAGGTGGGTTTGTGGCTCTTTTTTCCCCCATCTTGCCTACGGCAGCAAATTTCCAGCACCACCCTAGGGTGTCTCAAGCAGAACATTTGAATATATTTACATCTCTAATTGAAATCAGGGGCAGGGAGGGGGGAGAGGAGAGCAATTGTTTACTATGTCCTGTGCTTCTGGTGAGAATTTAATTCTCTCTCCATCCCCATGCAGCGCCTGTGGCGTCTGCAGGGTAGAGAGAGAGACAGGCTTTTGTACAGGTGACATAAAGGTCACATTTCCGACATGGGTGGAGGGGTAGGTACCAGTCTAGACAGACCAGAGGGACAGCTGGCACCCCTGTCCACTCCCCTTCCCTCCCCACCCCTCTCTAGAGAGCGTCTACTTCGTCCTAACAACACGATAGACCTCCTGAAGTCGGTCCAGGTCTGCACCTGCTTCCCACAGCTGCCGACACCATCTGCGCAGGTTGTCACCGCGGCTCAGGTTGTCAGGCCCCAAGGAAGCCCCGGTGGGGGCGGGGGGCAGCGCCCGTTCTCAGAGCAGCCCTGACTCTTTTGTGCGGCTCCTTCCCTTTGTGCTGGCGATTATCACACGTCTGGTGGAACTGGAGCCCAGGGCAGCGCCCGGCGCCGCACGAGGAACGGGAAGACGCAGTGTGGGCTCTGAGTCATGTGCCCCGTGCTATGCAAAATGATCACTCAAGAAGTTCAAGTTCATTTCCATCACCACGAGGCCGCACAGGGCAGGCAAACAAGCTATCTAGAGGAAATTATGAGACCTGGCCATTTGCTGAAAAGGGACGCTTTCAGGAACTGCCAGGGAAGACCAGCTTCAGTTAGCCAAGCTCCTTGCCAGACACGCGCGCAACTGAGAGACGTTTCCGTTTCCGCTTTAGCCCAGCCTCTGCGTTCCTTCTGGAGCGGTTTCTCTGCTCTCCCCCGGAAGTACATTGGACACCGCCTGACCTGGGGACTCATCTTCCGGTGTCGTGGCTTTCCCCATTTTCGTTGTGTTCACGGGGCTCTTGAGGCACGAACACTGAAGTGGTTTGCATTCTCTTCCCCGGGGGATCACGTTTTACCAGGTTCTGACTGGCAGGGACGCGCCCTTCATCCACTTCCCGTAGCGGGACGACATGCTGGGCGCCCCGGTTGTCCCATGGCTGGTCCTGTAAACCTTCACCCGCTGCCAGGGGTCAGTCTAGGTGCTGACCCGGCCTGGGACAAAGCCCTGCTGGCGTCGCCGGGAGGAGGGTACCTGCAAGACTGGAGCTGGGGTCGGAGGACGCCCCGGCGTGGAGCGCTCCCAGGCCTCGCTGCGGCCACTGGCCGCCCTGGGGCCGTTCTGCACTGGCAAGGCCTGCCGCTGGCCGAGCTCCACCCCCTCCTTTCCTCTCATCCGGCTCCTAGAAGGTTTGGTCCAGGCCCACCGGCCCAAACACCCCAGGAGTCAGTTAAAGGCCAGAAGGAAAATATTCTGACTGGAGACTTCAGTGAGGACGTACACAGACAGCATATGCTTGGGTCCACAAATGGGCCCATGTGGCCAGTGAAGTGGACCCCCCCCCCCGCCCTTTATCCATCACAGGCAGGGGGGCCACAGACACAATGGTTTTACCCCAGGAGACTATGGCCAGGAGGAACTTGGAGGGAAAGGAGTAGGCTGGAACAAAGGCGCATTTCCTTCTGGATGCCTCCTACTGGGAAACATAGTCCTTGATATTATACTTGGGAACTACAGCTTGGCATTCTTTCAAACCCTATGCTTCCCAAGTCAGCAAAAGATTTTTCCTCTTTCTTTCCAAAGTAATTTTTTTCTGATTTGTGACTTTTTTTTTAAGAAACTATCTCTTATTAACAAATGTTCTCTGCACAGTCCAGTCTTACATCAGTGTGTTATGTTAGTCAGTCAGTCAGTCATGTCTGACTCTTTGCGACCCCATGGACTGTAACCCACCAGACTCCTCTGTCCGTGGGATTCTCCAGGCAAGAATACTGGAGAGGGTAGCCATTTCTCCTCCAGGGGACCTTCCCGACCCCGAGTGGAACTTGAATCTCCTGCATTGGCAGGCAGATTCTTTACCATCTGAAGGACCAGGGAAGCCCTCTTGCATCACTATGTCCATGTAATTCACCGTGAATGGGAATTAAATATTCACACTGATGGAAGAAAAGAATCCTTCATAACCTGATGAATAAGCTTCATTAATGCAACATTATGGCTGGCTTTTTCTGAGAAAGCATGTTTAAGTCTAAAAAATTCAGGATATATCTGTCAGCAAAGGATGGACACAAACTTAGCCCAAAGGCATTTGAAAGGTAATCAGGGCAGGACCACAGAATCACAAGACGGACCGCTGCCTTGAATCCCAAGGTCCAAAACTTGGAACCTTGAAAGGGAAAGGGAGGGAGTGTCTGACTCTGTGACCCCGTGGACTGCAGTCCATGGGATTCTCCAAGTCAGAATACTGGAGCGGGTAGCCTTTCCCTTCACCAGGAGATCTTCCCAACCCAGGGACTGAACCCAGGTCTCCTGCATTGCAGGCGGATTCTTTACTAGCTGAGCTGCCAGGGAAGCCCTGGTCAATAGCAAATAGTTCTGCAGGCAAGTCTACATTCAGAGAAGAGTGATGAGGACCTTGAAGACCAGGGGAGGACACTTAACAACATGCAGAGCATTGCCGCAATAAAAAGGTAACAAAGCCTGCACTACGGGGCAGTTTCCACACTATGACATGGCAAAGACCCTTGGAAAAGAGGAACCTTATGCCTCCTGTTTTAGGGTCATCGTTGAAATCCTGGGGAGCTCCTGCAAAAAGAAGAGGAACACATCTGGACTTTATTTCTATGCACATGAAAATGCAAGGTCAACAACATGACAAAGACCAAAAATGGCGCATTTGGGGAGGTTTTGCCATCTCTTGAGGTTTTTCGTCTGCCACTCTTACTGGCATTTCCTAAGACAACTGTTAAAAGCCAGGGGATGTTACCAGGTGATGAGGAAAATTAGGTTTTTAGCTTTGATGGTATAAACGCGTATGCCTTTTTGGAGAGAGGAAGACTATGTAACAGCAAATCGTGGTGCTCATAGCTTTAACACACCTGTTGAATTTAGGGTCATGCAAAGTTGGCCTTGATGATGAGCCAGCTCATGGGCCGAAAGCCCGGACACGGATATTGATGTGAGTGACTAGCTTAATTGCAGTCTTTGTCTTTTTTTTTTTTCCCAGTTCCAGCTGTAGTGATCCTATTATTGGAATTCAATTCATAAAAAGTCACATTCTGGTCCATGGAATTTTTATCCTCTATAGGCTTGTGTTGCCCCTGGGAAGAAGAAAAATAAACAAGAAACAAACCATACAATTCTCTCTTGTGTTTTAACTTGTACAAATAAAATACATGCAAAATAATTTCTCAAGATGTCTGTGTCAGTGGTTCTATTGTCAATGTGTGAGTCTATACTCATGTTCTGGGTCTCCATAAAAACATACCACCTTCTTCAAATAGTTTGATTTTGCAGACAGTCATACCAATTAGCCAGTGGGCTTCCCTGGCTAATTGGCTCAACAGTGAAGAATCTGCCTGCCAATGCAGGAGACACAGGTTTGATCCCTGGGTCGGGAAGATCCCCTGGAGGAGGGCATGGCAACCCACTCCAGTGTTCTTGCCTGGGAAACCCCATGGACAGAGGAGCCTGGTGAGCTTCAATCCATGGGATTGCAAAGGAGTTGTACACAATTAGCAACTGAACAATAACGTACAAATTGGCTAGGCTTGTTATATGGGAGATGCTTGAAAAGATAGCTAATGAAATTTCTGAGAATGGCCTTGGGAGGAAGGCCCCCATGCAAGACACAGTCCTGAGCTGCAGCCTTCCATTCTGACTCCAATATTAAATATGTTTTTGTTAACTTTTGCAGAATTATTTTTATCCACACTACAGTGAAGGATTATTCAATCATTTTTTATATCAGCATGGACTAATTGGTATTTATTCTATATCTTATAGGCTTATAATAATATTACTTTATATATTATATTTTTTCATATTGCCAACATGTAAATATATCAGTAGATTTTTTTCCAGAAGTGGAATTATTGAATCAAAGATTATGTACACTTCAAATCTTGATAAAGGATCAAGCTGCCCTCTTTAAATGTGATTCACAGGCATGTTCTCTGCAGTAAAGTAGAAAAGCAAATGGTTCATGACACCTTTGAGAACACTGTGTATTACAGGGTGCAGTGAATTTTACCAAAAAGAATCTCAGTGTGATTGCATCATGTTTGCTGTTTTACAATGAACTCTAACTCACCAATGTGCGTTTGTGTGCTCAGCCACTTCTGCTCAGAGCCAGACTCACTCTGGGATTAAGACAGGTGGGTAAACTCTCCTTCAACTGGTGTAGAGACTCACTTGCAGATCTCATGGGTGTGCGGTTGGGTCTGCTCCTCAGGGTTACTGTTTGCTGCAAAACTGTAGACTTTGTTGGACTTTTCTGGGACCTGAGACCACAGCGGTCACCTTCCATGACTTCTAAGTTTGACGTCTCTTGCTTTTAACAGACTGTTCTCCTATTTTTCCCCTCCCTTCCTTTTCGTCAATAGTGAAATTTACTTATTTCTCTTTTGCCCCTTGTTGTGGAATTATTTCGAACAAGAGAAGTGCCAGCTTTCCTTCACCATGATAAAAGCAGAGATCCTCACCGACCTCGAGTTGATGGGCGTATGCCTCGCTCAGAAGGATTTGTACGGGAGAAGGGTCTGACACTTTGCTTCAGCTTCATGCTGGTGCGTCTGTGTTATTTGAATCTGACACACTCATCTTCTGTAGTAGATTCTTCCTCCCGATCATTAGATCACTCTCTCATTTGAGGAGCATGTTTTCTATGCCTTCAAGTAAGTGAATGATAAAAGCGTTTGACTGAACTTAATCACATCAGAGCCCTTCGCCTTGCTGCTAATAACTTCCTCTCAGGTGGATATCAGTACATTAATCACCTTTTTTTTTTTTAAACGGCTATCCACTCCTTTACATTTCATCCAATTTTACTATCAGTCAGATCATGACATCCTGCTGTTCCATGAGCCTTAAAAAGGCTCTGTCGCTTGCTTTGATGAGAGCCAGATACACCGTGTCCCTGTCATCCCAGGAGCTGCCAGACTAGTGAGAGCTTCAGAAAGAAAACGAGGCGTGACTTGCCGGAAGCGAGCCCACGCTGACTCCTCAAAAATCATTCCTCTTTATCCAAAGGGCCTATAAATCTATGGTCTAATAATTCACTCTACAGTTTTACCAGGAAGTGTCATCAATTCTGTCTATTGGAAGCTTCTAGTACCCATGACTTTGACCTTTCACCTTCAGTGGGATTCTTCTAATGTAGCTGAAATGGGCTTTGTAATCACACATGTGGGCTTCCCTGGTGGCCCAGCAGTAAAGAATACGCCTGTAATATAGGAGACTTGGGTTCAATCCCTGGGTCAGGAAGATGTCCTGAAGAAGGAAATAGGAACCCACTCCAGTACTCTTGCCTGGGAAATCCCAAGGAGAGAGGAGACTGGTGGGCTATAGTCCATGGGGTCACAAAAGAGTCGGACATGACTGAAAAACTAAACAAAAACAGTAGCAGCAAAATCACACATTTGCGTTCTGCACACTTTGGGGTAAAAGCCCCCTGTTCTGGAGACTCCATCCTTCGCGTGGGACCAGCACTCTGCTAACCCTCCCCTTGGCTGTCTGGGTTGCAACTCCTGTTCCTTCCCCAGCTTCGCTGGAAAGATTGATCCTGCTAACAGAGAAGGTTGGAAAAAAAACATAGGATAGGAGGGGCTTTGCCTTCTATCATCTATCTGTTAACTCTGAACCAGAGCCGAAGGCTCCCACTGGTCTTGATAACACTTCCTGTGACCATTCCTACCAGGATCCTGTGGCTGTTGGTCCTTCGGCAAGTCCTTTCTCCTCTGGTGATTCAATTCCAACCTTGAAAATGACAGTGTTGTTGCTGTTCAGTCTCTAAGTCATGTCCAACTCTTTGTGACACCATAGACTGTAGCCAGGCTCCCCTGTCCTTCACCATCCCCTAAAGCTTGCTCAGAATCATGTCCATTGAGCTGGTGATGCCATCCAACCATCTCATCTTGCTTTGTCCCCTTTTCCTCCTGCCTTCAGTCTTTCCCAGCATCAGAGTCTTTTCCAGTGAGTCAGTTCTTCGCATTAGGTGGCCAAAGTATTGAAGCTTCGGCTTCAGCATCAGTCCTTCCAATGAGTATTCAGAATATGAGGATAACCAAAGCGTTAGTAAATACATATTAATATTTACAAATACACCTGAAGCCCTGAGTGGGTATGGAAATCATCCAGAGCAGGAACAGATTTCTCGTGGGCTATGGTCTGAATTCTGCCCCA